TTACAATAGTGTTATTAATTATATGGGTTTTCATGCCTATTAAGATTTGTCTTATATAATTTGGAGCTGTGATATTTGGTGCATAGATGTTTATGATTGTTATCTCATCCTCTTGCAGTTTTCCCCTGACTAATATGTAGTGACCTTCTTGGTTGGTAATTTTTGGCTACTGTTATTTCATATAACTGAAAGCCAGTGAAACTTAAAGACAAATGGACATAAAGCTTCCACTGACCATTTCTTTGGGGAGTGCTTTCATGAAATGGAAATAAGAAACCAAGCAACTTAGAAGTATCAATTTCAAGAGAATGGTTAAGGGAATGTGTAGTGATTTTAGGTCAGAGTTCAATTCTTCACACTTTTAAAGTGGCAGCTGTGGTCTGACTCAAAAAGAGGCAGTGAAAGATTTCTTGATCAGTACCCAGTTACTGGATTGGAGTTAGTTATACAGTTATCTGGAACTGTCTGGAACGAAGGCCTCAATCTGTGGATTATGAGGTTGAAAAGAACTTATAAGGGCTCAACAATATGAAGTGATATTATCATTAGTCATCAATTGGTATTTTGAAACTTTGAGGGAAAAAAGAAAACAAACTGATGGCCCCTGTCCATAACTATTTTGCAACAGGTTAATACAATTTCCTGTTTATCATAGTCACCATGATTATTTGGGGAGATGGTCATTTCAGATATGTGGCTTACCATTTGAGGTGCTGGACAATCAAATCTATTTTAGAAGAGCAGTCTGATTTTTGAGGGACAAAATTGCTTCTGGTGATGATGAGGTGGAAGCTGAAATATGTGCAGTTTTTACCGCAGTATTTGCCATCATTTTAGATAAGCAGATCAGATCCAATGATATTAAGGGATTTGTCCATGTCATGTAGCTTTTAAAGAGCTAGGCTATTCACCCATGTATTACAGCTCTAAACCCATTTCTTCTTTTTTATATGTTGGTACATTGCACCCTTACATACTAAATTAATTTCATATAAAGAAATCCCACGTAAGATTCAAATATAATTGAAGTAATTGAGAGGTAGGAATCATCTGGCTTGAACAGTTTGGGGGAAGTGTCAATGAAGAAAGGTTTAGTGGGAACTTGAAAGGAGAATGGGGTTTATCTGGGCAGAAAGAGGGTGGGCAATCCAAGAAAGATGAGAATAACAAAAGCTCAGTATGTAATCAAAGAACATTGATTGGACAGGTGATCTTAGACAATTTAAAATCTGGATTGTCCCAGTCCAATTGAATGAGGCACCTGAACTTGCTAGGTGTGAGAATCAGAGTTTTGGATAATGGACAAAAGTTGGTCCTCATTTGGCTTCATGTTCTTCTTGCAAAAGGACAGGGAGCCCGGACTGCAGATATCTAACTGGGGGTGCCTAACTGTGGGATATCTGAGCCAGGCTGTTTCTGGACTATCACGATTACTCCTCCCAAGCATTGTGCTGCTTGTTTAGGACAGTTGAGAGGAGCTCTGTTTTAGGGAAATGCGGGTAGTGTTCAGGGAGGGCCACAGAAGCTAAATGGACTTCACAGAGCAGTGGACAGCACGAGGAGTAACTATAGAGTCCTACAGAAACTGTGGAGATTTTATAGGCGATTGTCATGGCGCACAGGCGCTAAAGCTTCGGATTGGTTTAGACACAGAAGGAAGTGGGTTCTGATTGGCTAAGAAAAGTACAGCCCGCCTCTACCTGGGCGGGGCGTGCCGGTCCCCCTCTCATTGGGCCTGAGGAAGCCGGGCCCCGCCCTTCTTTGTGACGGGCTCAGCAGCCGGCGCCTTCCCGTCGGGCGACGCCCACAGGCAGCTCCGAGCGCGGCCGCGCAGCCGGAAGGGCGGCCATGGCG